TATATACTTATTCTAATATTTTATATTATCTTTTCTAAATCTTGTTGTCACAGCAGAGAATAAAACATAATGAAAGATGCCATGTATCCTGGGTACCATGTGTTTGAACTATTACACTCAGGGTGACATTTTAATTCTAGGACAAAGTGCCTGAGGAACAGATCAAATTTTATCCTCAGGTCATATGTAAATTGAATGCTACCATATGCTGACAATTTTTTTTTGTGCATATTAGTACACCTGGGGATGACTGTCCAATTTTATTGTGCATTGCACAGTAAGAAGAATAAATAAATATTTGTTTAATTCATTTGTCATGACTGATGAACATACAGAAAGTCCAAGTATATTTTTAAAAAATAGAAAAAGAAAAAAATCTTAGAAGTGAGGAATTTATTATTATTCAAATTATATAAGCATTCATCTATATTTTAATGTATGAATCATTTCTATCATTTCAATATGAACGTTATAACACCTACACAAAAAAAAAAGAGAAAAAAAAAAAAGGAAATGATGAGGTTTTTCATGGCAAGGGAGACAACTTTAACACACTATACAATTTATCAATGAATTAACAGCTTATCTCCAGTCATCAATGACATATCCCAAATTTGGCTTGCAAGACTTTAAAAAAATATTGATACTGGAAAATATAGTAATGTCAGAAAACAAAAAAAAAAGAAGTTAAAATTCATTTTGCTAGTGTAAGAAAGAAATTATGTAAAGTAATTGGACGTGGTTAAGTGAAATTAGCAAAAATGCCCCCAAAAAGGAATTGACAAAGTTTTCAACAATTAAAAAAAGAAAGAAAATAACAGGACAAAGTTATATATATATATATATATATATAAAAAGAAATATAGTCTTAAGGTGTGCTATATTTATCGGATAAAGTGCTCAATATCAGAGATAGAGCGTGTGTAAATATAAAAGTGAACATTGAAGTGAACACTTAGAGGTGACAGTCTGTTTCATGCTAGACACAATTGTCAGGCCATGAGTGCTGTTTTTTCTCAGTTATTTATATATACGGGTATTTTGCCGGAAGTCATTTATTTGTTTATTTATTTATTTGGGTTAAATTATTTTGCTTGTCTTTATTTATTTTTATTTTTTTAATATTTTTATTTCTTATCTTATATATTTATTTTTTATTTTAATCAGTGTTTTATTAACGTAGTAAAAATTTGTTTATATCGCTTATTTAGTAGTTTTGTTTTGGTTCGGTTTGGGAAGATAATTAAAGCTATTTATTCAATTTTGGGGCTGATTGTTGTAGTTTATTCTAACTATTATTTTGGCGGGAGCAGTTTTTAACTTATTTATTACTTCATGTATTTATTTGGATTGATTATCTTTATTTGTTTTTTTTCTAACAGTTAATTTATCGGGATTGGTTTGTTAGTTTATTTATTTGGATTAATATATTTTACTTGTTTTTTATTATTTATTTATTATACTGTATATTTTTTATTTACTTTTCGGTTTTTGATTTTTAAGTAACATAGTATTTTTTTTTATTGTTATATAACAGTTATAGCTATGTTTTTCATCTGACTTTTGGTTTGATTTTTATAGTCTAACTAATATTTTGGTCATAATGGTTTGTTAATTTGTTTATTATTTACTTTATTTATTTGGGTTCATTGATTTTGTTTTATTTTTTATTTATTTATTCTATTTTGTCTATTCTAACAGGTGTAATTTGGTAATTTGTTTGGGTTAATTTATTTTACTTATTTTATTGTCATTTTGTTTATTTGTTTTATTTTATTTTTTTCAGTTTTCGATTTTTAAGTAGTGTAGTAAAAATTTGTTTTCATGTCTGCATTTTGAGATGCATTTATTTAATAATTTATTTTGTTCTGGGAAGGTAATGATAGCTATTTTTTCCTCCAAGCAAAGTTTGCAAGTTTAGGATTGGTTGTTGTAGGCTGATGATCTTTTACTTATTTTCCGAGATATTTTTGGTGTGATGTGTGTTTTGTTTTTAATTTTATCGTGGCTTGGTATATTACATTGTTTTGTAAACAATTACCATTTAAGGGACATTCATTCTTTATTCTGCAGTTACACATGGGTTTAATTTGTTCGTGTGGTTTGTTGATAGTTTTCCTGTTGTGCTTTTTTATTATTTGTGCCATGTTCTCGGTGCAACTGTAGCCGATTTTTACTGTGTTTTTGTTGATTATTTTGTGTAGGTTGCTTGATTCTGGGAAGTGTTTGTGTAAGAGTTTGAAGAATATTTTTCCTACGTTTGTTTTTATGTTTCTGCTGTAAGGTGGGTTGAACCATATGATGTTTCTTTTCCTGTTGGCCTTTTTTGTGTTCTGTGGTGAGTATGTGAGTGTTGCTGGGAATCCACTATCTTTTAGGGCTGTTTCGTAATCTTTCTTAGCTTTGTTAAATATGGATTCATTGGAGGAATTGTCGGAAAGCCTGCGGTTAATTGATTTTGGTATCTGTTTGATTATAGAAGGTGGGTGATTGGAGGATGTGTGTATATAGAGTGGTTTATCATTGGGTTTTCTATATGGTTTATATGTGCCTTTTCTTAGGTTGAAGGTAACATCTAGAAAATCTACTCCGTTTAGATTAGTTTTTATATCTATGTCGAATCCATTATTTATGAAAATCTTTATTATTGCTTTTCTAGTTTTGTCTGGGTTTTGTTTGTTACAGTTTCTTAAGATTATGAGACCGTCGTCCCTGTAGAATTCTGTGTCATTTGTATCTATTATTTTGCTTAGTTCATGTAGTAAGTATATACCTATGATTTTGCAGGTCTCTGCACCATCAACTTAGCTCAGGAAGAAATAATAATAAAACCAAACTAAATTAACATCATTAAACACTCCCATAAATCATTACTATTTCACAATGAAGAAGCATGGATAAAGAAAGATGGGATCTTTGACACTACAATGGGAAGTTTTGACTAAGTGTTGACTTCAATGTTCACTTTATATATATATATATATATATATATGTATGTATGTATGCATGCAACACAAAACTAGGCAAAGTGATAAGGCAAAAAGTTCACAAAGTCAGAATGGTGTGTTTATGTGCATACAGTCAAGTGATTGTAACATTCTGATAACAAAAATATGGTGGATGAGACTGAGAAGTGGCCATTTTGTTGGTTCGGAAGAAATCCCAGCATGCATCTGTATGATTTGTCTATAAATCTGGGGATGGGGATGTTTTTGCAGCCATTTCCTCACAACTGGAACCAACAACTTGAAACTATGAAAGATCCAAGTAAATAAATGTTTATTTGAGCACAAGCAAAGTATAACAATTTGTAAATTAACTAAAATATCTATGAAAATGGCCATAGGTTTAACTTTATATTTTTCTTCTGTGAAAAACAAAAAAAAACATTTTGATATCACATGTAATCATCAAGATAAATCTTTAAATTCATAATGAATGAAAACAAAGTTTAAGCTTGTACTTTTTTGTTAATCTAAAACAGAAAAAAAAGCAATTACTATTTACCATTTCCACGTGCTCATCATCACTTTCAGCATTTTCAATGTTGAGTTCGTCTGGGGTCATCTCAGCAATAGATTCATTAGCTTTGGCAATTTTGGGTAAAAATGCTTTTGCAGCCTCTAACACTGTAAAATAGATGATCAAGAAAACTTAGAATATGGACAGATGTTAACAAAATTCATTATTTCAAAGATTTGACTTTTTTTTATTAATTTATCTTCCATTTTATTATTGTTGCTTCTTAGTGTAACACTTGAGTTGTCTTATATTCTAAAACTATCAAGTAACCAATTGTTATGTAGTACGAAAAGGTTTTTCTTCCTCCGTATGAATCCGAATCCATGTCACCAAATTGTTATGTAGTGTGCGAAATAGTGGAGGCTTGTATTTGTACTAAGTTGGTCCTAAAATAGGTTCGATGTACAAAACGTTAGGAACTTGATATAATAGTTAATGACGCAGCAATCTAGTTGTGGTGGCTGATACTTTAGTATCCGACTAACGGTTGTCCGACATTGACTGACTGACCAACTCACTGCCAACTCAGCGACTGCTGCTACTACTCCTACTTATTATAGGTGGGAGAGTCTATTAACTATAGAATAGGTGTGTTCCAGTATAACACCAATATAAATTGGAAATAAAATATTCTCCAACTAGATTTGAACTCACATCCTATATGTTTGGAATCCTTTTTGATTCGTTCATGGAGACTGACCAGCTGTATGTTCCATATCTCTTAAGAACATTATGGTTCTCTTCAGTTTCTTGTTGCACTCTGAGTAATACTTGCTTCTTTACAACTTCTATGTTGGTACACTTATTTAACTTGATCTTTATTCGTATAGAAGTGCCTTTGTACCTAGTACAGATTGTAAATCCTTTGTGACACTATTGGAAAAGTGCTAGTAAATTGAAAAAAAAAAAAAATAACTAGAAGACAGAAAAAACACTAATATCCGATAGACTGAAGATACGTTGATGACCAGATGAGGAAAAAATGAAAGAAAAGGATATTTGTTTTTTTTTTATGGATAATTAAATTTTTTGTCTGTCAAAATGTGATAAGACTTCCCAAATCAAGAGATTGTTCCCTTTTTGTCACTTGTTGGCCACAGGGTTGATGAGAGGAAAAAAAAAAAAAAAAAAAAAAAAATAAATCCCAGATGCGAAAATGACCACATACAAAAAGCATGATAAGAAAGAATTTTGAATGATAATTAAAATTTGTCCATTTGGGCTAGACCATGCTTAGCCCTTAGGGGACAGGTTTGATCAGGTGACCAAGGAGGAGAGGCCCCAGGTGGAATTTCAGAGAAGGCAGAGAATTTGCCACACTCCTCAGGCAATGATGGTGAAAGACACTCACACAAAGCAGGACGGAGAAGGCCCAGGTAGAATTTCAAGGAGGAAGGAGGGGCTCCCAATATTTGGACATTTGCAGGGAGAGCCGTGATTGGTTGTTGGGGAACGCTGGCATACCCAGAGCACATCATGCCCCACCCTTGCACATGGCTCCATAAAAACAGAATGCCAAGTAGATGGAGACACACATAGCAGGTAGACACTATGGCAGGGACACAGCAGAGAGAGAGAGACTGCTGAGATGAGACTGAACTAAGAGACGAGAACCACCCCTTTGCCTGATCTCATGTAATTTGCAGTCTTGAAGAAAAAACGTCTGACTTAAAGCCTTGTTCCAGAAGTCTTGTTCAATACCATAACAACAGTGTGTCATAATAATTGGGAAGGGTCGATAGTTAATGCATAGAGAACATAAGCCTGCTTAAGCCATCAATAACTGTACTATCAACTTTGTATCACGGAGTTGTATATAAATATTTTATTTTCGTCTAATTTATTTTTTTTTCTTTTGTGTGACTTTACTCTGACTGGACCACACCAACTCATCGATTCCAGTCAACCATTCGAACCACGCCAGTCTTGCAATCAATTAATCACAACATGGGGCAAGATAAGACTTTCGCTGAAGCGATCAACTCTATGATCAGCTGAGGGAATTGAGCTTGAATATGGAGCAGCCAGGGTAGACATCATACTTTCCATGTAGAGCAAGCTTTCCAAATATTTCAAGAAGTTCTCTGTACTTTATCAAATCATTCTGTGTAAATCTTTCTACTGTTCATTCTGATAGGCTTATAACCTTGAAAATTGCATTTCTTGTTGTTCCAGGATCTTAAACAGAAAACATATTGCTCATTTTCTCTTTCTATCCATTAGAATACTAATTATTAGTTTCATTATGTGGTTCATCAGTTTGCATCCATTTTCACTTGATTTCTTTAGCAATGTTATGAAAATTTCTTCCTAGATCCACTGGTATTTCATTGCTGTTGTATATTTGGTTTATCACTAACCAGTTATAAAAAAAAAAGTTAGTGTGTACAGTCAAGCATGACAAGCAGCAGCATACATCAACAGGCAGGTTAGGATTAAGGCTCCAGGTTCTCCACACAGAATTGCTTTATGGGATAATAGCCTAGTGGATTAAAGCATTAGTTTGTGATAGAGTAACTGCTGGGCAATGTGTATTTGGACTCAGTGGAAACAAGATGAACAATAACTGAGCAGCAGTGAATATGAACTTGATGTGATATGCTACTGTTCATGTCCAGGGATAAGAACTACCTACTCCTGATTAAATAAAGATTCAGTTCAAAATTCATGGAAGTTTACCCAATTCAACAATCACCTGATGAGGGCACAACAAAGATAAAGTGTAAATAATGTAAATTCAGAAAGAAACAAAAAATAAATAAAATTGTCTATATTTCTGAGATGAGCTATTGTAATAATTTACATTATATACATTGTTCAGACTGTTGTCCTCATCTTTCTTGCCATATTCACATTTTGGCCATTGTATGCTCTGGCCTTCTTCAAGTGATGAGAATTTTGAACTGAACCCTTTATTTCATCTACTGAGATAGATTGTTCTTGTTTCACACCAGCTGAGTGCCTCTGAAGAGTCAATACTAAACAAGGGTCTCAACTTTGCCACAACTATCAGGCAGATAACATACTTGGACATCATTGTCTGAATAAAGGAAATAGCCTTGAACATCCCTCAGCCTTGAGTGGATGAGCTAAGATGGAAAGTGAGACAGATACTGGAGAAAGCCAAGTCTCCCAAATCAAACATCATGAAACTGGAGAGGCTAGCAATTAGAACTATACAGATGAATGAAAACATCATGCTACCAGCTGACAAAGGCAGTGCAACTGTAGTGATGTACAAATTGAAATATACAGAAAAACTGGAAGGCCTCATTAGAAATGGTAGCTACAGTAAAGAAAAATCCAACAATGAAAACAGAACAAAAACTGTCGCAGATCCTAATCAAGAACGAGGACTACTTCCCACCTAAGATATACAGGCAGTTGTCGCAGCATTACACTAAGCTGCCTCACATATATGGTCTCTCTAAAATTCACAAAGATGACATTTTGTTCAGGCCAATTGTTAGCTGCCAAGTTTGTGAGTGCCACCCTCTGAGTCACTTCCTTGTAGATATAATTGATCCATTAATAGGAAAGTCACCTTCATATGGCCAAAACTTTGCCAATAATCAAAGATGCTCCTATCCAATCCAACCAGATGGTGAGCCTGGATGTGGTGGATTTGTTCACCAAGGTACCCATGAAGGAGGCAGTATTGGTAGTTAGGGACAGACTGGCTTGGGACTCATCCCTAGGAGAACATACCAGTATATCAATAAATAACCTGATGGAGATGCTGACATTCTGTATGCAAACAACACACTTTGGAATGAGATCAAACAATGTGTCTTATTCCATTCAGAAGTGAGTTGAAGGCTTAGCAATGGGATCATCATTATTGCCAGCAATGGCAAACATATATATGGAATACTTCGAAGAAATGGCATTAGAATCCATATCACTAAAGCCAACTCTTTGGCTGAGACACATAGATGAAACCTTTATACTCTGGCCACACCAGGAAGAGGTCTAGCTACTACTGGACTGTATGAACTCAATAAGATCATTGATACAGTTCAAAATGGAGAAAGAACATGACAACAAACTCGCATTCCTGAATGTACTAATACCCTGAACAGAGCATGGATTCAAGACATCCATATACCACAAGCCAACATTTACCAGACAATATGTCAACTTCAATTCCCACCACCCATACAGTGTAAAGAAAGGGATCGTCCACTAAAGTCATAAGTGGTGACCCAGAGACATATGAACAAGAAATGGTCAGTATAAGCAATACCCTACAATGTAACAACTACCCTGGGTACATAACAGCTCTGACAAACTGGGATAAAAGGGTACAAGAGGATAACACCATTCGGAAAACAACTTTGCTCCGCCTATGTGAAGGGATTATTGAAAAAAATACATAAGATCTGTGGTTCATATAACATCAGTATGACCTTCAAAAGTGGTTCAACACTTCGCAGACACCTCTTCCAAGTAAGACCCACCTGTTCAACTGTGGTAAGATCTATAATGGAGAAACAGGCTGCCAGTTAAGGCAAGATTACAAGAATATTGTAAAGCTGTAACACAAGGGGAAATAGAAAAATCAGGTGTAGCTGACCACATATAGCGGGAAAAGAGAGATTACTGCCCCCTGTGGGAGGAGGTTGAAATAATAGACAGAGAACATCACTGGAAAATGCGAAAACTTAAGGAATCAACATGTATGTTTGGTCACAAGAATTTCCTTAAGCCAGCCAAGCATAGAAATGAATACAATATGGGAACCAGTAATATGGGGTGCTAGAGAAAAGCAATGACAACAACAAAAACTGCAATATGAGGTCTGGTAAAAAATGATTGCTGAGACATGATGTTTATAAGTTCCAAATATTCATACACTGATGTCCTTAAGGACACATGTCCCAGTAGATAAAAGTGTTGGTTGTATCCAGTGACTTGATCCAAAGAGTTGTGAGTTCAATATCTGGCTACTTGGAGAGTTAACTTAAAGGGAGATAACCGAGACATCCGGAAGAGGCATGGCACGTGGAACTAGAAAAATCTACCCTGGTGGCCAAAATAAAGGGTTCAGTTCAAAATTCCACTCACTGGAGAAGGCCGGAGTGTACAATGAACAAAACGTTGCAAACATGGCAACAAAGTTGAAGACAACCTGTCCGAACAATGTAAATAGTATAAATAAATAAAATTGTATTGCTGTATTCATTCTTATTTGCTTCTCCATGCCATATTCTTTACTTTCTAACTTTCTAGTAGCAGAAGGCAATATTAAAATTATGCTTCATCAAAAAATTCAAAATGGCTTTCCTGATATAGATTTGAAAGTTGCATCTGTTAGTCTTGGGAGACTATGGAATCTACTGGGTGTGGTTAGATAATCCTTGTTGCAGACGCTTGCTCAGGCACATTTTGAGTTTCATCAACACCCACAGAGCTAACTTGTGTTTTTTACTGCAACTATGCTGAGTGGACCATAGTTACAGGAGAGACTGAAAGCATGATCTGGCCTGATCATTAGTTGAACAAAGCTAGCAGACTCAAATCCTCAGTCATGATGTCTTGTGACTTTGTGTCAACAGAATCATAGACAGCTTCCAAATAGTTTTGTCTACCAAATTTCCTTCATAAGTCTTAAGTTGACCTGTTGTATGGTTTTTCAGTCAATCTAAAAAGTGACTTGACCAAAAGAGTTCAATCCCTGATCACAGCAGAGAGAACAAAAACTTAGAGGGTTGAGTTACTGAAGTGAATTAACTGAAACCAAGATATCAAAAAAAAAGATACCCTCGTGGACTAAATTAAGGGCTCAGGTCACTTTTTAGATTACTCTACAGGACCATGTGTCCTTTGAAATTCCAATGTATATCACCTGAAGAAGGTTGGAGTGTACAACGGCCAAAATGTTGTGAATATGGTAATAAAAATGAAGACAACAGTCCAAGCAGCGTAAATAGTGCAAACAGTTAAAATACCACATCTCAGGAATATAGACAGATATTGTTTAATAAAATTACCATATTTAATGACATAAGTGTCAACTTGCAGTTAATGTTACAGGCATTGGGTAAAATACATATATTTGTAGTTCACAACATCTGGGGGAAAGCTTAGCCTATAAGGTACTTCAACTTTGCAAACAAGACCTTGGAAATCTTTATTGTGCCTTTTTTTTTAAAATAATAATAAAAGCAAAAAACACACAATGGGAGTTATTAAATAAGATAACTTTATTCAACAATTGCATAATATAGTCAGCTGAATGGATAAGAATTCAAGAAAAGATAATTAAATCAAAAGAAATTTGGTATGAGATTCTGAGAATATTTGTACATTGATGTAATATCAATAGAAACACCACCACTGACTGGCATAGAATGTATCAGATTATTTGTTGAAGTTCATTATTTTATCATGGTCTATTTACATTATTCAAAGTTGTCATGGGTCTGTTCATATGACAGATGGCTGTCTAAAAAGCCTGCTAATATATGTAAATGAT